TATATATATATATATATATATATATATATATATATATATATATATATATATAATGAAATTATATAATTTCAATATAACTATCAAATTTTCTTTAGAATCAATGACTCGTTATAACAACAGACAGATATTCAGATAAACAACATTATTTATAGAGTGAGTTAAAACTCACAATTATTTAAAAGATTGAAGCTTAATAATTTAATTTTGGTGTTATAATAAAAACAATAGTAAAATTTCATTTATTCGTGGGTGTTTAATTTTTTAAGACCGTTAATAATTTAAACTTAAAAAGTAATAATTTGTGACAAATTTAAATTTTTTTTTAATACATCTCTTATAAAATAAGGGAAACATTTTGTTTCCATTCAGTTATCTTATATTCATTTTTTCTTATTGTTCATTTCAAAAGGAATATATCTTCTCCGTTACATAACATGTTTAAGATCATCATATTAAAAAAAATATTTTTTTATCTCTTTAATTCAAGATCATAATATTTGTCAAAAATATATTTTTATTTTTTTTAAACTCTTTATCAAATTAAAATAAGATAATCAAATTCAAACGAACGATTTTTTTTTTGTTTACCCTCCCATAGGAATATTAACAATTAGCAGGACCATCCCATTGTATCTGTCCCTAATCTCAAAACCTGTTTTTGATCCCTGTAAAATATTACAAAAATAAAAAAATAAAAAAATTAATACAATTCTAATTGTTTATTCAAAGATTAATTAGATAAATTGGGACAGAGGGAGCGCAATGATATACTAAGTATAACTAATTTTACACTCAGAATTTGAAAGGGTGATATATCTATTCGATCTTATTCATCCATAGCTAAAAATCTTGTGAAGGTAGAATGTTACTTCAGATCCGTCAGAAATTTCACTATGGAGATTCGAAAATAAAAATGTAATGAATGAGATTCAAACTTGAAACCTTAGAGTAAATTTTAAACGTATCCTAAATGTACCACTGCTCCAACCTCTAGTGTTGTATTTAGGAAATTCAATTTTTTTTATATATACATATTACTAATAGGAGTTCGCGCGAACATTCTCACCTCCTCTAAATTCGCCCTTAACTTACCCTCAACTCAAACAAAACATATTGAAATTAAATATAGTAATATTAAAGAAATCACGACAAAAGTAAAGTAACAACAACAAATAATACGATACTTGATACAAAGAAAACAACTGGAAATTAAGAATATTATATACAAGAAGAACAAATGAGAAATTAAAGTAACATGAAAACTATATTGTAAAAATTCTAAAATCATTAAACATAAAATGAAAGCAATTCAAAATTCTTACCATTTCAAATGCTGGGTAGTGATATATATTTTGATTGTTACATGCTTTAATAATATTCAAAGATGGAGAATATGTTGATGCAATTTTTGGGAATTTTGGTAATGAGATAGAGAAATTATTATCACCCTTAAAAAATAAAGAATTGGAAGACTCAATATGAGAAATATTCTTGTAAGATAAATTTAAATATGAATTTTTTACCCTAGGAATATAACATGAAGGATGTGAATAATTTGAATTTGTTTTTAGATTGACAAATGATTGAACACTAAAAAGTGATGATGCAAAAACCATAGAAGCCATTTTTTTATTTGTTTTTTTTGGGAGGTTTTTGGTTTGGGAGGGGAAAAGGGTTTTCTCTATCTATAGTTCTATTTGATTTGAACAACAATGACTTCTATATATAATAATAATATATAAACATATTTATAAATATATGAAAATGTAGGGTGTCAATCTTTGGTAAACAGAATTATCTGATATTTATTTTTAATATCAGATAATAACTAGTCTATTAACAAATACATGTTATGTATGTATTGATGTTGTGATATCGAATAGTCGAGATAAGCATGAGCTGATGTTTCGTTATTACATAAAATTATTCGTAACTTATTATGCTAAAACATAGAGTTCGGAGATTAAAGGGTATAAAATATTAACGAAAATTTCAAAACGGTATATAAAGTTTTATATCAACCAATTCTTTTTTTTTAGAAAATCGATACCTAGGCAGTGATTTTCATTTTTTTTAATTTTCATTTTCAAAAAAAAAATAAATTGAAAATCGCTACCTAGGTAGCGATTTGAATTTTTTTTTAAAAAAAGTTACATTTTGCACTGCATTGATTTTTCTTTTTTCCGATGGAGAAAATCGCTGTTGTTCCAGCGATTTTTTCATTTTGCTTAATATAAAATTTTATATATCGTTTTAAAAATTTTGTTAATATTTTATATCTTTTAGGTTCCGGACTCCTAAAACATATGCGAAGTTCAAGTTTTGATGAACAAAATTATGAAATACTATCATATTGATGAGAAATAACTAATATTTATTCAAATAATTGAAATGCGCGTAAATTGATCCGTAAACTATTATTAGTAGGAAAAAAAAGAGGTATAAAACAAAAATATGAATATGTAGGGAACAAGTCATTCTCATTGATGATGAATTGGCTTTTTTTTATTCTTGACTTGGTAATAAACAATAAGTACTTTTCTTATATAAGAGACCAAAGGAGCAATGTGTTTCTTGTGATCTTACATAGTAAAATAGTTCTTCAATAGAAAGCCCCTTTTAATTATCTAATTTACAAAATTATAAAAAAGTTTGGTTAAAAAGAAATATTTGAATAATTGTTAAGAAAAATTAAGGAATCTCATATGTTATTGGATACAACCTTTATTTTATATGAATTTAATGGAAGCCACCTTAAGTGAGTTTTGAGTATATATGGTTTAGTATTATTTTTTCTTAAAACAAATTAATTGTGAGAAAAAAAAAACCAATAAATATATTTAGATTCATATTTAAATGGGAAAATGCTTAAACATGTCACTGAACTTGGTGAAAAGATTCGTATATATCATTTGTTAAAAGTTTTTCTTATTTATGTTATTTTCGTTTTAAAAATGGTTCATTCATATATTTATCTGTTAATAAAAAATAATTTTGGATTGACAAAAATATTTTTGATCCCTTTTTATAGATAAAATGCATAAATGTGTCATCAAATTCTGAGAAAAAACTCACTTATACCATCGGTAAAAAGTTCGGTTCATTTATGTCATTTCAGTTTAACAAATAGTAGAACACATGAACTTTTTTTCAAACGGATATGACATAGATGAACCAAACTTTTAAGGAATGACATAGAGAAGGTTTATCTATGCCATTAGTTAAAAATTTGACTTATTTATGTCATTTTAATTTGGCAAAAGGCGTAATTACACATTTATTTGTTAATTAAAAATAATTTCTGTTTTGCAAAAATATTTTCTTTTTACACGTGGTCAGCTATGATTCGGCAACATTGTTACTTAAATCTTTTTTTTTTAAAAAAAAGGTGAATTTCTCAAATATGTCATTGAACTTTGAGAGAAAGATCATTTGTACCATCCCGTAAAAGTTTGGTTCATCCATTTTACTTAACAAATGATAGAATGAATAAATATTTTCTCAAACGAAAATTATAAATGAGCCAAACTTTTAGTGGATGACATAGATAAACCTTTTCCCGAAGTTTGATGGCCAGTTCAAGCCTTTTCCAGGGGCGAAGCTAGTTGGGGGTTCGTGAACCCTATATTTATACTAAAAAATTAAGTAATAACTTATGAACCCCCAACAAAACTAATTAACAACTTAATAATAAAAAAGTGAAAGAAAATTTAAAAAACCCCAAATTCCTAATACTGGCTCTGCATCTGTCGCTACCCTTTTCACTTTTAAAATTTCACTATTTGACCTTATATATTAAGTCTTACATTTAGCTGATTTTTTAAATTACAAATATGTTAATTTTAAGATTTTTAATTCATCTCAATATTAAAACCCAAAGAACAAAATTTATACTACCATTTTTTGTCTTATATA